CTGTGGGACGTCCTGTAAACGTCCGATTTAGTCCACAGCCTTCCCAATGGTTAGGAGCACAGGGTTAGGGGGCGCCGAGTGACGGGCGGGCTCACGTTCCTTTAATGAAGCATTGATTGACTTGCGGGGGAGCCTGACACGAGCAGCGTCCGTAATCGACAGACGCATCGAGGAACCGGAGGGTGACAGACACGCGGAGGTGGGGGTGTGGATCACACAGCTACATGAGGACCGGGCAGATCTGTGGGTGGGCGGGGCCGAGCCCCAGACGTCATTAGAGTATCACAGAGGCTCCCTCACGTACGGCTTACTGATCCCTCTGGGACGTTCAGGGTACCTCGAACACCCCCAGCCCGCCTGTCCCTCCACTTCCTCAGATTGTGGCCCCGGGCAGCCCTAAATAAATACAGTTTCGTTATCTCCAACAGCGTCGGTGGGACTTGTTACTAGCGTTATTGCTAGTTATAAGGGAACAGCAGGCTGCTGCGGATTACAGTCGCGTTTATATCTTCACTACGTCCCGCTGAGATGAACTTGTAACGCACTCTAGTCTTTACTGATGTTTCTGGGCGCTCCATTAACGTTTGCTCCGGGGGTAATATTTACAGTTCCTAGCACTTAGCGCTTATGGGTTCCGCACGACAAATATTACAACGGTCTTGTTATTCAAACCCAGATTTAGATATACCGAGGGGCTTTTAACCGCTTAGGAACGTAATGTTTATGAGAGTTGTAAATATCAGAATAACGTTTTTATGCGCCGTGGATGACTTCGGACAATGCCAGAGAGCGTTATCATAGCGTAGGCTTTTAAAAAGGCTTTGGGTAAACGCCGTACCGGCTAGGACGCGTCTGGTTTAAAGCATCTTGTCGCGTCACGTCCGGTTTCTGCTCACTCCAAACCTTTCTTCTTCCGCTTCCGCTCCGGAAACAGACGAGGGCCTGTGGGATATATTGATCAAGGACATCCCAAAGGAAGTGACGTCGTACACGTTCAACATGGACCTCCTGAAGCAAGGTGTCAGTTATGACTTCCGGGTCATTGGGGTGAACGACTACGGTTACGGCTCTCCTAGTTCACCCTCAGCTTCTATATCAGGTCGGTTTGCATATCTGTCTGGGTCTTGAACTCCACTCAATTGTCGATAAAGTTGAATACAAATCGTTTTTAATTCCACGTTAAACAATGACGATATCACACTTTCTTAGGTCGATAATATAGTATAGAATACTAATCGTTATTGGACATATATAGCCCGAGATATTGTTTTCTTGTCCACGTTTTAAAGTGCCACAGGTTTGTATCGTGTTTTGTCTAGTTGTTCTATATTTAATGTGTCTTCCTCCGGCAGCCAAAAAAGTGGCGCCGTTTTACGAGGAGTGGTGGTTCCTGGTGGTGGTGGCCCTCGTTGGCCTGATCTTCATCCTCCTACTGGTCTTCATCCTCATCATCCGGGGCCAGAGCAAGAAGTATGCCAAGAAGTCGGACTCAGGTTAGAGTCCGGTACTGCTAGATAACACGCTCTTTGTGATGCCCCACACATCTCAAGGACTCTGGACTTCTCGGTTACGACGGACTGCTTTCGGGAGATAAATGATGGAGAGATAAATGGTGGTGGGGTAAATGTGAGAGGGTGATCTGTAAACAGGGCATAGTGGGCCTCTCTCAGTATGCAGTGGTCTCTGACATCAGCGGGAGTTTCCTCTGGCTCAGCACTTCTGCTGCTGTGGTCCTCTCAGGCATACAGGCTTCCAGACGGGGCTACGGAGGCCCTCCTAGCAGGGCCGGGCATCTTGTGGGTCAACGCATTTCTCTGACTGACAGACGGAGCACAAGGGCTCCTTTCTTCATCCATTCTGTGGCCTCCCTCCCTTCTGTGCTCTGTCACACAGATACACACACACACACACACAAATAAACACACGCATACAGATACACACAGATATAAACACACACACACACACACACAGACACACACACACACACAGATAAACACACATAGACACACACAGATACACACACACACACAGATACTCACACACACACACAGATACTCACACACACACACAGATACACACACACACACAGATACTCACACATAGACACACACAGATACACACACACACACACACACACACAGATACTCACACACACACACAGATACTCACACACACACACAGATACTCACACACACACACAGATACTCACACACACACACAGATACTCACACACACACACAGATACTCACACACACACACACACATACTCACACACACACACACACACACACACACACACACACACACACACACACACACACACACACACACACACACACACATACACACACACACACACAGATACACACACACACACACAGATACACACACACACACACACACACAGATACACACACACACACACACACACAGATACACATGCTCTCACAGATCCCTGCCACCCGTTTATGGAATACTAGACCAGGCTAAGCTGGTTTCATCATCTCTTTATCGTCAACAATATGAGTAGACGTGCCACACTCGCCATAACAATAGTAGGAAAAACTTTTCCGTTTCTAGGGAATCTCTCCGCTAGTTTCCGTTGAACACTCTAGAACAATCTAGCGCCGGTATTTTCACTCACGTGTCACAAGTGACACCCTAATCCCTATGTATTGCCCGACGAAGAGGGCGACATTTAGGACAGTCCAGTAAGGGCCCTAGTGAAGGCTACGTGACGCACATCCCACCCAGTTGTGAGCGGCCATTTTGTTTCACACACATTAACCCCAACCCCCTAACCCGTCTACCCCTTTGACCTGTGGTCACACAGTGTCTCCCTATGTGTGTTCATCAGGGAACAACTCCAACTGTAACGCGTTGACCCACGGCGACATGATCAGCCTCGACGAAGGACGCTTTCCCGCCCTGGAGCTCAACAACCGGCGGCTGTCCGTCAAGAACTCGTTCTGCCGCAAGAACGGGGTCTACACCAGGTCAGTGGCCAGCTACGGGCGGTACCCGAAATAAACGTGTTTCACTTTGTGCGCTTGGATTCCCTTCATCTTAAAAAATATATATTGATACTTGTAATAAAACTATTTCCTTGCACTTTTTTAAAGCTGAGGGGCTGAGCCTTGGCATGTGATTGAAGCGCATTCGCCGTGGAGTTGCGAACTTCGAGAACGTCTTTCGGAATTACGGTGACGAGTAATTATCGGGGAAATCCGACGGGGCGGGAAGAGTCGATCAAAGAGGCCTTTACGCAGTGATGAAATGGAATGGATTCCTCTCTTAAAAAACCCCACGTTTCCACTGTAAAACAGAGAACAGCTGCTGCCCTCTAATGAGACGGTACATTTTAGACACATGTTCAGATGCTAATTTCAATCATCGTTAAGCCTTTTGCTTTAACCCGCCTGAAGGGCAGTATGGCCCCGATGTGTACTTTAGGGCTATATTCCATTAGTTACATTGCGGCAGACAAGCTCGTTCAAGCCCGGCCAATTCTGTTTTTTTATTATACAGTTTATAAACCACGGTGTGGAAAACTCCAAAGAGCGCACACTAATACAGTGTTGCAGTTGGATTTGATATCCCTTTCTCGATTCACTGGATTAATTAGCACCTTCTTCTACGGATTCTCCGAGTGGCACTTGGTCTAACAGTCACAGAGGACCTGACTATCAATGAGGCCACGCACTCTTACTTCTCACTGTTACGCTCTCGTGCATTTGATCTCTGGGTGACCTCAGCGTTGCGACACAGGAGTTCCTGTCACTGTTTTGGACCTGTGTGTCGGCGCCGCGTAAGTTAGAAACTGTAACTGCGTTGCTTCACGTGGGGAGTTCCTGCTCCGCTGCTTTTCTGTAGTCTGGCTCTGTGTGAAGAGTGTCAGGGTGTGTGTTTGGTCGTGTCACAAGTGCCGTTTGGGACATGGGGCATAATGAGTCCTAAGGGGCGTGTCCTGAATTGAACCCTATGGGATAGGGTGCACGCCGGGTTTGCCCTAATGGGCTCTGAGATTTGTGGGCGCTGGTCAGCGCTAGTGAACACTACGTTTGGGAATACAGCGCCTTTGGGGGCAGTGACTCGGGCGAGCGAGCTCACACCAACCAGCTGGAGAGCCAGGTGCCCTGTGTCTGATGCAGAGCCCAGTGGAATTAGCCCTGTCCTTGATCTCCTCGGAGAGGTGAGGTGTGTGTGTGTTTGTGAGAGTGTGTACGTTGAGGCGGGCGAATGTGTCTGCCTTTGCCCTTGGGGAAGGATCAAAGGTGCCCTGGCCTTTGAGGATCCGCCAGGTTGGGACGTCAAAGCGTTCGAGAGAAGGAATTCACCACTGCTATAATTTCCCCCAGAGTTGAGGTGCAAGAAAGGAAACTCCCGGAGACTGCTATCATTTCCATACCCAAACCGCAGACGAGCATTTTCGGTTTTCTTAGTCTTTTAGTCAATATTGGATTCAAGTGTAATAAAATATAAAAGGAAGTGGGCCTGTCCTTCCATTGCTTTTCTTTCACTCCACCAAGTCACTCGATAGTTGTAAAAGAAAACGCTTGAAGATTCTCAGTTCCTCTAGGCTTAGTTTTTTTTCGAAAATGTATTGCTCGGTTTCCTGCTTTTTTTTTACAAGGAAGTGTAAAAAGATACCTGAAAGTGGGCTGAAATGTAACCTACACTGCAAAGTACAGTGTGTGTGTGCGCGTTCAAGAGCTCCTAGACAAATCACAGTCGAAGGAACTTTTGTGAAGAATTTATAATAATCTCCCACAGGCTGAAAGTGATGTCATCTCTTAAACTTTTGTCCGCCTCTGAAATGTGTCCTTTTTTACAGAATGGGCTGTTGCAGAACTAAGGCCTGTGCGTTAGCAATATGTCTAGGGCAGGCTGGGGTGGATTAGGAGGGTACACTAGAGGTGTAATGGTGAAATGTTTGGGACTTTTCATCTGAATAACATCAGACGTGACTTTGCTTTATCTGTGTCAGCATGGCGACATGCGAAGTTGTTAGCTCAGTGGTGACGTGCATGCTTAGTGTGTATGATGTCCTGGGTTCAATCCCCAGCTTCTCCCCAGGTCGCCGTTCCAAATAAATTTGTTGTCAATCGGCCTAGCTGGTTAAATTAAAAAAATCCCTCAATGAAAGATGGGTGTGGAAAGATGCACAACTAAAATTTAAGATTTTAATAATCGGTAAATAAAAGAAAAAACTGTGCCCAATTGCAGAACTGTTTCTCATAAACCTCATTTCCATTCAGATGTTTATTCTCCAAGAGACTGCACACCATTTGCACATCAACGCCGCGCTAATTGGTTTCCAATTCACTCCGGATGCGAAAGAAACTTATTAAATTGAAAGTTCTTAATGTTTTTTGATTTCCCGCGAAACGCGCCTGAAGGCTCGAGGCTATATTGGAAGTGATGTCACCCTTGAAATTATGATTTAGAGAATTCAGCTTCACTACATTTCCGGGGGGGGGGGGGAACGTTCTGCATTGGACCGCTGAACTGAACAATTGCGTGTAGATGTTCCGTAGACAGGGTTCCCCGTGATAGTGTGGCCTGAGGTAGAACGATGGAGTGAACGAGTAATATTAAAAGAACGGTGAGACGACGGGAAAATAAGGATGCTGTCCCGGACAAACAGGATAATCTGCAAAAACAGATGCCTGATTGTTTAACAGACTTAAAGGCCTGAGAAGAAGACCTTCTCAAATCCACACTTTAAAAAGACTTTCTGGGAGAATCGTTCCTTCTCTTCTCTTTCCCTCATAGGTCTCGTTGACCGTACGCATAAATGCCCTCTCTCACTCCCTGCTCATAATCTCTGCCCTAGAAAACCATCACTTTGCGTGCCGACCTGTGAATTAAGGCGTTTAGAAGTGCCACCCACCCAGGCACACTGATACACGGCCGTTTCTATGGACCTCGTGATTCATGGGAATGCCATTTCCTAGCTATCGTAACTCTACATGTTGTGAGCCGTTCTATTAAGGACACATGAGGATATCTGCATGCAGTGGGCTCGTGCATTTCTCTAGGTAGTTGGTCACAAGGAAAACTGTGCCTGGAATTCCACAGGCGGCCCACTCAGTATTAAATCAGAAGATATTATTCATCCAGACCAGCTAAGATCTTATGGTTGTCCCAAAACGTTCCCATTTCCAGGTAATTCCGTGACGCCTCGCCCATTGTGGAGTCTCCATCAAATGCTAGTGTTTTTTTATCCCTTTGAATAAATTAATGGAATTTATGGGAAGAAACAGTCTATGTATTTGTTTCCCTGGATTCTTTCATAGTTTTTTTCTTAGGTACGCACGATTTTGTGAACACACTTTCTTAGCGACTCAATATGATTAGATTCATTGGAAATTGATAACATTTAGTCAAAGTGGCTCATGGTTTAGGTCCAGTAGTTCCACGTATATATTCACACATCAACACAATACTGGTACTAGCTACAAACATTACACACAAAAACATTTTCCATGTTGTCATGGAGATAACACTGACATTCGTTATGAGTTTTCAGCGCACATTCAGCAATTGTGAGTCAGCAGTTGTGAAAGACTTGTGACTTTAAATGTACCTAAGAACTGAAGAAGCTGTTACCTGTGATATATTGGCCATACACCACAACCCTTTTGCATCACATGGTGATCAGCCAATCAGAATTCAGGATTTAAAGCAACCGTTTACTAATTACTGTATGTACCTTTCTCCTCAGATCCCCTCCTCGGCCCAGCCCTGGAGGTCTCCACTACTCTGACGAGGATTTGAGCACCACCAAGTACAACGATCTGATCCCCGCTGAGAGCAGCAGCCTGACTGAAAAGCCATCGGAGAAATCAGACTCCCAGGTACTAACAGTATGTACATTATTATCCATCTCACTCAGACTCCCAGTAAACTAACAGTATGTACATTATTATCCATCTCACTCAGACTCCCAGTAAACTAACAGTATGTACATTATTATCCATCTCACTCAGACTCCCAGTAAACTAACAGTATGTACATTATTATCCATCTCACTCAGACTCCCAGTAAACTAACAGTATGTACATTATTATCCATCTCACTCAGACTCCCAGTAAACTAACAGTATGTACATTATTATCCATCTCACTCAGACTCCCAGTAAACTAACAGTATGTACATTATTATCCATCTCACTCAGACTCCCAGTAAACTAACAGTATGTACATTATTATCCATCTCACTCAGACTCCCAGTAAACTAACAGTATGTACATTATTATCCATCTCACTCAGACTCCCAGTAAACTAACAGTATGTACATTATTATCCATCTCACTCAGACTCCCAGTTAACTAACAGTATGTACATTATTATCCATCTCACTCAGACTCCCAGTTAACTAACAGTATGTACATTATTATCCATCTCACTCAGACTCCCAGTAAACTAACAGTATGTACATTATTATCCATCTCACTCAGACTCCCAGTAAACTAACAGTATGTACATTATTATCCATCTCACTCAGACTCCCAGTAAACTAACAGTATGTACATTATTATCCATCTCACTCAGACTCCCAGTAAACTAACAGTATGTACATTATTATCCATCTCACTCAGACTCCCAGTTAACTAACACATATATATATATATAAACAGCATTATCATACATTCATATATATACACTTTTAATAGTGAATCACTGATGGATGAGGTTGTGATTGAGAGTTATATGACCTTTGTATATCTAGAGAATATGTTAATCTGGACTGTTTGTATAAGTGTATTGTCCAGTCAACTGGCTGTGGTCTAATGTGACCATCATCCAGACAACCAGGGCATTGATAGAGTACATTTGGATGTGAAGCGTGTCCTGTGTTTCTCCTCAACTGTATGAGCCAGTCAGTCTGAGCCAGAGCCAGACTCTTGGGTAAAAGCCAGTGGTCAGCTCGGCTGGTGGCCGGACTCAAGCACAGATGATGGTCTGACACACAGTTATACAAACACACTCTTACACACACATACACACACACACACAGAGACTGGAGCGCCGGCTGCATTCTGAAGCCCAGACTGGACTCATTCCACGGTCCTGTCTTCGTCCCGGGCGACTGTAACCCATAAGTCCTCTTACAACTGGTCCATGTGTGGGCATCTACTGAATCAGAGGGACAGGAGGGGGTGTGCCAGAGAACACCTCAGGTTATTAGGCTGAATGTGTCTTTCTGTTTGCTACAGTTCTGTTTATCTCTGCTTCTATTTATGTCACTTTCTCTTGGTCTTTTACTTTCACTCACTATTTCTCTCACTATATCTCTCACTCTTCCTCTCACTCTCTGTCTCACTCTTCCTCTCACTCTTCCTCTCACTATATCTATTCCTCTCACTCTTCCTCTCACTCTCCCTCTCACTCTTCCTCTCACTATATCTATTCCTCTCACTCTTTCTCTCACTCTCCTTCTCACTCTTCCTCTCACTATATCTATTACTCTCACTCTTTCTCCATCTATGTCTTTCTCTCTTTTCCTATCTCTTTTTCTCTCTCTAGTTTCTTGTCAATCTTTTCATTGATGTCCTTGTTGTTTTTGTTTACTCTGTTCTCTTCTGCTCCATCGGTTTAAGTGAAAACACTGTGGCTGACTTTCAGCTTTTTTGAGAGTCTGGTTTCTTTGACAGTCTGGTTCCACCGGCAGTCTGGTTCCACCGGCAGTCTGGTTCCACCGGCAGTCTGGTTCCACCGGCAGTCTGGTTTCACCGGCAGTCTGGTTTCACCGGCAGTCTGGTTTCACCGGCAGTCTGGTTTCACCGGCAGTCTGTTTCACCGGCAGTCTGTTTCACCGGCAGTCTGTTTCACCGACAGTCTGGTTTCACCGGCAGTCTGGTTTCACCGGCAGTCTGGTTTCACCGGCAGTCTGGTTTCACCGACAGTCTGGTTTCACCGGCAGTCTGGTTTCACCGGCAGTCTGGTTTCACCGGCAGTCTGGTTTCACCGGCAGTCTGGTTTCACCGGCAGTCTGGTTTCACCGGCAGTCTGGTTTCACCGGCAGTCTGCTTTCACCGGCAGTCTGGTTTCACCGGCAGTCTGGTTTCACCGGCAGTCTGGTTTCACCGGCAGTCTGATCTAAGGAGGAGAGGAAACAGTCCTGAACTGGTCATGGTTTATGCTCCCTCCATGTTTTCTTTCATCTTGGAACTTTCTACTCCAACGTTCCTCTGAAGTCATCTGGAGTGACTGTGAATGTCTCCCAAATCGCGCCCCCTTTTTTATCTTTGCTACACTGTGATGACCAGCACCTGTATGTAGCAGTGCACTTAGATTATAGGGTGCCATTTTGGACAGATCCTCGGCTTCTACTAAATACATCCCATTGTAAATTCCTCAGGGGCCAGGCGTCTCTCTACAGCTGTTACCTTATCAACAGCTTAGCTCTTTTAACATCCGTAGAGAAATATCCCCAAACCAATTGACTCCTATGGACAGATCCTTCCCGTACGACAAAAACATCTGCCGACATTTTTGCATGTCATTGGAGGGCAGGCATATCCGCCCTTCCACTCTCCCGAACTCCAGTGGCCTATCCGGTCCTCCGTCTGCAGACAACCTCGCCGACCACCCCAGACACCAGTAGGCCAAGCTGCAGTCACCTTTGATGGGGTCAGCAACACGCGGAGCACGGCTTGTTCCCGTAGGCCCACGATTTTCCTGCCGTCCACCCTGACGAACAGTCGAGCCTTGGCAGCACGCACTGCTCTATTCAACACAAGACCAGGAATGTAATGTCTCTGAAGTTTTATTGTCCAGATAACTCCCGGCTAAGAGCACAGCCACACACACACACACACACACTGCATTACTGTGGGTCTCCATTAAAGCCCTATGCTCCACCAGCATAAGTTGGCTCTTGTCTTCCCCTTCAGTAAGGATTTGGAAGAAGAACAAGTTAATTAGGGATTGGCATGGAAACCAGGCACCACGACGGCTGTACGTGTCACCCGAAGCCCGGCTGTCCAGCTGCCAAGTAGAGAGGCAGGGCGTCGTCAGCGTCCCAGCCTCTGTGCGAGCGTGCCTGGATGGGAACCAGCACAAGTG